CTAGCCACATATATAAGCAGTTCTTCCACAAACTGAAAGTAGTTCGACTATACTTCGATCATGTTACACATATTTCGATTTTTCGTCAAATGTGTCTCTGTAATTTTTTGGAGAGTAAGCATTATCATCTGTAAGATTAGCTAGCTATCTTCAGCCTCAAATGTCGTCGGAACAGAGCGTGCGAAGGATTGTGGTAGGTATTCTGTGCCGTTCTGTCAGCCCTGTATCGAAAAATTAATATTCATGTGATATTTTGACTAAGTAAATATTTCAAACATTAAACGCTTATGAAAATGTATATAGGAATTAAATTCTTCAGGTGACTTAAAGGTATTAGAAAAGCGTCAACGCTATTGGTGCATCGATGAACAAGGATAAAACCTATTCAAAAGAACAGTCCCAAACAGGAAAACAGACTTGAAAGGTATTCAAACTGTTTATTGATCAGGTATTAAACATACTCTTGGAGTTAACAAAAGATTTCCGGCTGCAAGTACAATAATTTGATCGCCTGCCGAGTTTATTAGACTCACACTTGTATGTGAATTCGCGTACAGTTGACAAATCAAAAAAAGTTAGTGAAACCAATGTAATGAGTCGGTAGCCATTCTCTGTTTGTTTATAGCCGATGATGTCGTCATGGGTAACGAAAATGGAAGATAAATGCGTGGATGGATAAATCGAAAAAGGTGGAATTCAACATCAGCTTTCATCGCATGGATACAAAAAGTTTACTTTCAGGAGATACACTTGAACCTTTCTTAAATCAGTCTTCGGGCAACCTGACGGAAGACAAGAAAGCTAATCTTGACAACGTAAATGTCTTCCAAGTTGTCATTCTATCGCTAATTCTTATAGCCGGATTCGTAGGGAACATCCTTGTTGTTGGGGTCGTGGCTTTAAAATGCGAAATGAGAACACGAACGAACATCTTTTTCACTAATCTCGCGATAGCAGAGATTGGTACGTGTGTGTTTTGCGTGCCTCTAATGTTGATGGGATTAACCAGAGGCCGATGGAATTGGGGTAATGAATTTTGTAAAGTTAACTGTTTCATGTTACAGTTCTGGTTCTTGGAGTGCGTTTTTACCTTGATTGCCCTGAGTCTACACAAATACTTGTCTGTTTATAAACCTTTAAAAAGAATTATGAACCGAAAGAGAACATTCCTGGTAATCCTTTGTACATGGATGATTGCTTTTCTGTGTGCCACAGGTCCTGTTTTGGGTTGGAAAAAGATTTCAAACCAGTCAGAAGCTGCAACATGTTACTTCAATAACCCAACAAGAACGCTTCACTTTGCCCATGTGATATTTTTTAGCACTATATCATATATGATTCCAATTATTGCAATAATTATTATATACTATAACGTCATCCGTGTCGTCCAAAAGCACTTCAAACGGATAAGAGATACGGGGATAATAGACGATAAAGGCATAAGAGCCAAACGAAGAATAGTAATAACCATTTCTATAGTGATTTTTGTTTTCTTCTTATGTTGGACGCCATTCTTTGTCAATTCAGTCATGTCATTGTTGAACGTTCAAAGGGACTTTTTTCGCGTTGCACTTTTTTGTGGATTCTCATTCAGCGTGTTCAGTCCCGTCATTTTAGTCATGCGAAATCCTAGATTCAAACGAGGGTTTGGTGAGATATTAACGTGTGGGTTTTTCAGAGAGGGGTCCCAGATAGACTTGGGAACATCTTTTGGTAGCAATATCTCTCACACGAATCCATCTTTTGAGTATATAGAAGAAAGAAGATGTTCAGCATGGTACATGTCCACTCAGAAAAATCTCTTAAGTCTAGAGCCTGCTCCTCCTGAACGAAGACTGAAGCTGAGATGGATTGAAACTAATCTTTGATAAAGCTCTACGTTAAATTTTATCTGAAAGGGGGGAAGGAGAGAGGGAGGGGGGAGGAGAAAGGAGAGAATGTGAGGATTGTGAGGGAAAACACCTGGTGGAACCTTTAAAGCAAAGGTGTAATATGGACATTGAATACATAGAGACCTATTAGAGTGAGTTTACTTTTCTCTTGAAAGAATGGTCGACGTAATACATAGTAGCAGACACAAATTCCATTGTTTTCTTTTGCTATACTTTGACTGTCAGTCACTAAATAATACAACTTTCATGGACAAAGTGAAGTCACTCTATGCACCACATTATAAGGTGTGTTTCAGTAAGTAGCAATGATTCATATGAATAAAAAGTCAAGAAAATGCATAAATTACAAAATACGATTTCAAACTATAAATGCAGTAACAACTGCTATATAACTAAGCAGCCACTAAACTTATTTCACAGTATTAATAAATATCATATTGAATTTAAGAATTTTACATTGCTGCTTTAGCTTATCAAGGCCCATTGTAATATGGGAACAGTCTTATCCTAAATAAATAATCCTAGAAAGTCTATTTACATATTAGGCTTTTTTTAAATCTGAAACTTGAAAGAAGACACAAGGTCATAAATGATAGCACTTTTCTGAGTTTGATAAACAGGCTACTTTGATAAACAGGTTACTCGTTCTGGCTTCAGTACAAAAAAATGGAGAATATTCATACCAATACTGGCTTGGGAAGTCGTCGTTGAGCATTGTTAAGAAGCTTAATGTCTTAATAAAGCATACCATTTAATATTCATCCATCGTTCAACCCATAATGTAGTATATAATCCACTCAACGAATAAAGCGATAATAGCCAGTGTTATAAGAACAATATTACTCTCCTTTCTTCTCGTTCTTATACCAAAGGCCCCCCAAGGGAACAGGTCATTGATGATCAGCACTCCAAGAATTAGAATCGTAGAGATTACGACAAGGCGAAGCATCGGGTGATTTTCGTCTTCAAATATATTCATTTTGGATGGCCCAGTTTTAAGAGAATGTAAAGCCTGTTCAAGAGCAAATCTTTCGATCATTAATCGTGTTTTATCCTGATCTAACTCCAGAAGAACACAGGAAGGTTTGTGCGATTAGGCAACACAACTCAGCTGTTTTTGTACATTGAATAAATAATATTTCCACATTTTCACAATAAATTAGCTCCAAAATTAATACATACAATAAGAGGAAGTAATTGTCTCTCACCTAGTTGCTTTTTCGCTTGATAAAACCAACAGAGGAGGATTAAACAACTTTTGTTTTCTACTCAATGCTCTCTACCAGTACAGAAGCCATCTTCATATATGCTTTTGAACAAGGCGTTCCTCACGTTTGTCGTTTTACCACAGGAAACCCAACTCAACAAACCTGATACGACCTCAAACTTTAATAAGGCACTGATAATGATTTTCAGCCATGAGTTTCCCAGTGCCCAATTGAACTGACTTTTATGAAACAAATATGTTGTAATTGCGCAAAAAAATACTTTTGATTGCTTTTACTTAAATTACTTTTGAAGTGGGCTATTCAACGACCCTCCAGATTAGCCCCTCTTCCCCAAATCAAACCTATGCTCCACAGTCCCTGCACTGGAGTGATCAAAAGACCATGCTAATGATTAATTGGCATACAATGAAAAAACGCTCACCAATCATAACAACTTTGGATTTGTAGTGTAATAAGTGCAGCATTATTTTTTTAATAAAATTCAGTACCACCATAAACTTTCATAAGCAGCTTTATTACTCTGTTTAATTATGACTCTATTAATAAGTTTATTCCGTTTATTCCAGGAGGACATCTAAAAACCCAGGTAATCCTTGTAGTTTATATCAGCATCTGCTTCTGATGACACACCTGATCCAATATTCATGTCTGAAATGAAAATAAAATAAATGGAAAAGTAAAACAAAAGGAAAGTGGGTCAGTCAATATGAATGAATTAATGAAATTTAGGATAGAAAAAAGGAAATTTTCTTTATATAAGGAAAAGAATCCTTCACTTACACCCTTTTGGCTGGGATGTAATGATTTCTCATTACAGACCATGTGTCATGGCTAGAGTACCATTTCTTTGTTTAACAGTTGCACATGAGAAGATACATTAATATTGATACAACTCAAACAAAGATTCTTATTCTTATGACACATGGTCTGAAAAGGGAAAACATTACGCCCCAAGCTAAATTAGTCTTTTAAGGTTCAGGGTCTCTTCCACCCTTTCCTAAATCACCATACATCTATGAGTTAGATATTCACCTGTTTCACAGTACTTCCCAGTAAAGTCTTTAGGACAGGTACAAGCTCCTGTAACGTGGTCACATTTTGCATTGTTTTGACATTTGCAATAACTATTACAGCCCTGTCCATACTTGCCATCATCACAGACTGCAAAAGTTAGAAAGTAGGTCAAAAATTAATACTCAAATTAAAATTGAGGAAATCCATATGTCAACTTACCTATTTGACAGAATTTTCCAACCCAACCTGGTTTACAGCTACAGAACCCAGTGGCAAAGTCACAACGAGCTCCATTTCGACAGGCACACTTTTGTAGGCAGTCATATCCATACTTACCTGGAGGACAACCTATAAAACATGAATGAAATAGAAGTTTTATTGTATGAATTAGGAGCTACGATTTCAAAAACAAATATGGTGTGAGCATACACGTGTGTACTCTATTCCTTTTCGGTAGGGTTTCCCCCCAAGTCGTGGGGTGAAGAATCCTTGGCACACTTCCTGCTATACTTGTCAAAAAAATGGGGCCAGCTAGGTACCGAAATAATTAAAAAATTCCCAAAAACTAATTTTAGATACCAAAGATACAGGGAGGCAATTAACATAAGACTTTACATCATACAGCAGTCTACAGTAGGAAACTGGACACCATCTTATAACTTACGTTTTTCGCAAAGCGTGCCAACGTATCCCGGAGGACATAAGCAAATGTACCGATTGATATCGTCAAAACAATAAGCTCCGTTGAGGCATGGGTTAGATATGCACTCATCGATTTCATTTTCACAGTTGCGTCCATTATAACCTGGAACGCACACACAGGAGTAATCGTTAATGCCATCTACACATGTAGCTCTGTTCTGACAGGGATTCTTTGCGCACTCGTCGATGTTCACATCACAGTCTCGTCCATTATAGCCTGGAGCGCACACACAGGAGTAACTATTTATGCC